GTCTATACCTATCAACATGGCTCAGTCCGGTCTTCAGAGAATTCATTAACAGGTGCCATGTTTTGGTTTGGCCGAGCTTTCTTTGATTCTACTCGCTAGTCAAGGTAGTTACGTATGTCCAACCATCTCAACTGATGACGATTCACTACTTCATCAATTGATTTGCCATCCTTACCTCAGTATTGCTTACTCGATAGTCCCAAAATATACGAGCAATGCTTCGAAGACACAAGTTGGCAAAAGCCAGTCGAGCCTTCTGTATTCGTGCTAAGATCTCGTCACACATTAGGCCATTACGACTGCTGAGACTTCTAAGATAAGCGAGGCCGTCAACACGCTCAACCACTTCACCACTTATCACCAGTTCAGGTGCCGACGCAAGCAAATCCTAGGACAACATTTTGCATTCGGAGGAGAATCGCATCCCCAACATACTTGCATTGTTGGTTGAAATGGTCAGACGACTCTTCATTTTTTTAGCGTTTTCATCAAACAGAGCTATGTCATCTGCATATCCTAAGTCAACAAGTGAGTCTCCTGGTAAAAGTTCAACTCATGAAAAGTCAGACGATGGAAATGTCGTCCCTAAAAGCAAGTCAATGACAAAGTTGAATAAGAGTGAAGAAAGTGGACAGACCCAACAAACATTACTTGAAGTAATCAACTACGATGACAGTTAGTCATAAGCTCTCGCTCGACTAATAGTGTTTGAGTAGAGTTTGTACAAGGCTAATGCAATTCGTTGGTACTCCTTTCAAAGATAGACAGTGCCACAGAACCTCACGGTCAACAGAGTTAAACAACACCTCAATGTCGAAGAATGTAACGATTGTCGGACGTCTAAAAGTGTGCCTGTGTTCTAGGATATGAAGAAGTGGTAGAATATGGACTATTCATCTACATCAAGGTCTGAACTCAGCTTGGTTTCATCGAGTCTATTCTTCGCGAGCTCTAGTTCGACGTCGAAGTATTATTGAAGCTAAAATTTTAGACACTATATTAATTAAACTGATTTCTCTGTGATTGTTACAGGGAAAATTTCGACCTTTCTTAAAGAAGGGAGCAACCAGCGATTAAGACCAGTCGAGACAACGCAATGGCTGGCAATCTGCTGATAAAAAATGAACGTTGCTAAGATGTCGATTCCTGAACTGCCTACTTCTTACGGTCAATCACTGTTGAGAATACCATATTATACTTAACATAAAATATTGGATAAAGCCATTATTATTACCACTATTAATAGTATCATTATTATTATGTATCAATCGATGACATTCTCCGATTGTCTTACCATAGAGAGGACTCTCTACCAAACGAGAGACTTGTTGAATTAAGCTTAACATCTATCTGGGTTTTAATGCAATATGAAGCATAATTTCCATAATTTGTAAAAGTTGGTGTGTTGACTTATTACAATGGGAACGTAAACAAAACTATCTTTCGAAACATTGAATAAAATCAAGAAAAGTGTAATTCTAATCAAAACGAGCTAATCGCGTTTCAGTAATCTAAAGGCTAGTTCCAAGCGATAAAAATTAGTATACGTATCAGTCTTAAATTTTACCGGTCAAAACATTCAGATTACAATAAGACATCAATGTAATCAACAGTATCCAATGATAATCAGGGATAATAGGTTATAATTTAATATCAATTTACCTAAGGATATTACTGAATTTTATTCAGCTCTTTACTTACGTCAAGGTTTCATTAACTCCTACACGTGCATACTTTCTGAATATTGGCAAACCTCTGAATAGACAACCATATGAAATGAGATATAAAAACTAGTTGATGCGTAGTATATGATTGTTTGTTAAATTTTCATACAATGTAAGTTATTTTAGGCATATCTCCGACACTTAAAATCAGTTTCTTTAAGCGGAAACATATATGACTGTGAGACCAGATAGAGGTGATAAACTGAGGCTAATTTAAGAAAGTAAATGTGTGAAAGGATTAATTTACACGCCGTTAACCAACACAACGATGAATATTATTTTCCCTCAAGAAAGTATGCATTATTAGCATGTATATTTCCTATTATCTAAAGTGAGTTTACGTAGTTTTGTCGCCAAAACTTCCTATGTATAGTCACTTACTAATTAGAATGCCATAACCAACGACATTATTGTCCAATAAAAATAAAATAATCTGAGATACGTAGCAATGGTGGCTATTGTTTACTTGAATAGAATTAGAACAACACATATAAGCGAACAACATTGTTTTCGATTAGATCGTCATCAGGCTTTACTCTAATATACATGAATATTTATATGAAAATGTCAAAGCTATCAAGGCAATTTGAGTCAACAATCACAATGAAATGTAAAAGATTACGTCACTACATATAATAGGCAAAACTCTTAGAACAATTCAACAGTGTACACCCAACAATCACGTTCACTGGTGAAGAGGAATATGATGAAAAACTCACTTTCCTTGACGTCATACTAAGCAGGCAAAGTGATGGTTCACTAAGTAGAAGCGTATATAGAAAAAATCCCAGTGCTTCCCAATAGACTCACTTTTGTAGTTTTACACCTATCCGCTACAAAAGAAATTTGGTTAGATGTCTCACTAACAGAGCAAATATGATATGTTCAGTGGACACTACGTCAGGAGCTGGAATTCATCAACAGTTCACTAACCGAGATTGGTTATCCCAGCGCATTCAATAAGAAGTATATGCTTGCCGTAAAAAAGAAGTCGGTGGTTTCGACCGCACAAAAGAAGTCTTTATTGATAAAGTTATGATTCAACGGAGATGTGGCTTGCGATGCTCTGCAGTATATGACGTAACTAGTGATTGACATTATATTTTTTTATTCTTATTTTTACACATTTGCTTATTACGTAATGGTTTTGATGTTTTTATTGATTATTTGAAGTTTGACCTACTATTGATCGAACTTTAGTTATCATATTTTGTAACTTTCTTACTACTATTAGTACACCTGTCTTCTTACTATCCACTGGTACTTTTCCACCTATTATATGTAGTGACGTAATCTTTTTCATTTCATTGTGATTATCACTCAAACTGCCTTGATTGGTTTAACATTTTCATATAAATATTCACGTATATTAGAGTAAAGCCTGATGACGATCTAATCGAAAACAATATTGTTCGCTTATATGTGTTGTTCTAATTTTCACATTGAGAATATCAATGTGTATGCATCGTACAAGGACATGTTAACTTCAAAACAGGTTTTTGTATGAAATGCAAATTAGCAAAATCTGAATATTTCTTCATACATGTATTTTGTTCGGCTAACGTGGAAAACCATTCTCCACTAGTAATGTATTTTCACTATAAAGCGGTAACTGGAATAAAGTATTTAAAATTGACAATGCTAAGAACTCATTTCTCTTGACCAATAATCCATTAGTTGAGGAGAATTCCTTGTTATAAAAATTTTTCATCTAATTATCTTTTAAAATTAATTTTTAATTAATCCAATTTTTCAAATTATACTTTTTGGGAGAGAATATTTTAAATCCAGTTTAATGAAATTATCTATAAAAATGTAGGAAGCATACTTTTCAATTTTTAAAAAACGAGTTTTTAAAGAGATTTTTTAATGTTTGACAATGTTGTTTGTTACTGAAACTATCTAGTAGTCTGCACTTTATGGTTCTGTTTCTGCAAGGCGGTTAAATCAACTGTGAGCTCGATCTACGTATTTATAGCTAGTAAGTTCGTAATTGATCCAGGAATAGTAAACTAAAAATAAACTTTGAAAACTGCTAGATAAATACTAACTTGTACAAAGTATTCTTGCATTGTTGCGCCATTAGCTGATGGTGTTGTACCAGTGAAATTGAAAGCTGCAGTTAGAGCAATCGCATTACGTCGATCTACCGGTTCTCCTGAGGATGGTTGTGCTAATCCTTCAACAAGTCCAACTGCCTCAGCAATACTCCCACTTTCTCCAGGTAGAGCTGATATAGTTTCGTCTGGTAAGATTCGAGCACTCATTAGGATTTATATAGATATCTAGATAGTTTTTCATATACAAAAATTAAAGAAACCTGTGATTTGATACAACTTTCAGAATCTTAATAATAAAAGTAACAAAAAATTGAATATCCATTGAAAATCAAGAAGCACTGAAGAACGATTTTATCCTGTTAAGAGACTTCTCAGTAGCGCATATCAACGACCACGTTGGAAATCGAAACCATGACATATACTGAGCCACAAAACCTGAAGGCCATGAGTTCTATCCTCGATGGGGTGATGCATACACACAGCTCAGTAGTCCGACGCTCCTTCAGTAAGTGACAATTAAAAGTTTATATGATATTGCGTAAAGAATTAATTAATATCATTTCATCGATTGCATTTAAAGCATAGTAGGAGAAATATGAATGGGCACTAAATTTGACAGAATAAACAAATCAATAAGATCACAATAAAATTGCAATACACACACGGTTAATATTCTATAACCATTGTATTTTGGTTAGATTGGTTGGTTACATTGATTAGTCAACTTCCAGTTACCTAAATGGAATATGAGCGATAACAAGTCTTAATTATACATAAGATATAATGTGTACATGAAATATCTTTCCTTGGGCCTTCGAAATAAACAGAACGAAAAGAAATTCTCTAGGCAGGTTCTGATTTTAGAAAATACGAAACACATTAAATAATTATAAATTAACAGAAAGAAAAGACAAACAACTAAATGCTTTGAATTGTTTATTTATTAGAAAACAAAAATACCCCGCTCCAAATAAACAAAATATTCGTATTTTTCTCTACAGATTTATGTTTTACACAGCCAGTAAACAGTTAAGTATAAATAGAAAAATTAACAAATCAATCTAGGAGGAGATTACATTTATTAGCCAATCGACTCATGTTATATACATATATATATATATATATATATATATATATATATATATATATGTATAATGGTTTAAATTAGGAATTACAAGAAAGAAGAAAGAAACACTTGTAGGATATGTCATTGTTTTTAGGCTGGTTTTGGTGTGGAAGTTCGACTGGCTTTCATTAAATGATGATAATTTGGTAAAATTCTCGTTAGAAAATCTAACTGTAGTGTTTGTGCAGCTGGACGTTCCGTTGCAACACGACGATGACCCTAGAGAAAATTAAAACATATATATATATATATATATTTATATTGATAAAACATTCGTCTGATTTTTTTGAAAGTACAGCAAATATTATATTCATTCAGGTTTAGCTCAGAAACAACACTTAGAGATATGTATCGTTTTTCTCATCTATAAATACTGTTAAGTAATGCTGACAGATTACTAGTTATTTACTAACACAATTTGGTGTTAGAATGAAGGTATTCACGTTAAGTTCCTATCTTGTAATATTTAGGTTTCTTAATATGAAATTTCTATATTATTTTCTATCCTTTACTTGTCATTTTGTTAATCTTCTCATATTACATTGAATTGAGGAGTGTTAACTCTGACAGATGCACACATTGACAGTTATATCAGAGACCACACTGGTGAAAGACTCACCAACTGACTACTGACTAGTGTAGTTGTAAATCCCTATGAGCTAAAATATCGTATTATAACATTGAAGGAATTTCCTACGATGCTATTTGGTGATTCGCATTAATAAAGGCGAAATGAATCTAGACCAAATGATAGTTTTTAGGACATTCATCCAATATCCTATTGGTTAATTTCTTCTGGTCAATTTTATGGTCGTACTAGATATCAATGTCACGTACTCCAATGTTGTCTCGTATTGATCGTCTTAACTTTAAATGTAACAGACTTCGATGCTGTTTCCTTCTCGACCTAAATGTATAAATACGCATCATCTGTAACGTTTTATGGACCGGACCCGGATCTCTAGTCCAGGAGGCTGATTCTCTTCTGGACTCGGACCTTGTACTTTGTGCATGCTTGTAGAATACAGGTTCTACTTCATGTCAAGTCTTCTTCTTTCACTCAATGGGGGTTGGGACACTCAGATAAGAGTAGCATGTCGTGTCGCCGGATCCTCGCTCTCATTTTCCGACTAAGGTAAACTCGTAATGGTTCAAGTACATTAAGTTGACGTGTTTATGTGCAGGCGTAACAATAGCGTAGTTTTATATTAGTTTATTCAGTAAATGTGTTAAATTAATAAATAATAACGTTAGGTAGATGGAAGTAATCAGTAGAAAACCCAAAATATAGGTCTTGTGCTGGTTGGCACTCATCGTAAAGATATATCTGCAGTAGTGAGGAAAATGATGTCTCTTAATGGACTTAAACGCAGATCAACCAGTGTTCAGCTAAAGACGTTACTACTAGGTTGTTTAGGTACAAAGTGACCTCCAACATGAATAATATATTCACAACTGACTGGTTGCTAATCAATAATTAGTTATAGAGAATAATAAAATTTACTGAGTGGTGTTGCGAATACGATTTCTAACCTCAACGGTTATATTTAAGATAACTATTATGAATTCAATAAGCGGATTTAAGTTTGACTTTATCGAGTTTTGTGGTGATGCAACTTCGTAATTAAGGATCAGTTTGTGTGTTTGATTGTGAGATCACACATTCTGCATACAGGTTTGTGATATCACTCAATTGTTCAGACCGAATTAGATGGAGTACGCTATCAACTGGTAACTCAGATGACATTTGTATTTAATAAATATCCATTTTTTTCCACCAATTAGAATAATGCATCCAGAACAGAACATACAGACGTATAAATAATCATACTGGATATAAATGTACAACATAGTAAGAGGGACAAACAATTAACTTGACAAGTCATTTTGTAATCATCTTAAAATAATGTAATCTCAATTCTTGAAGTATCCTCTAGCAAAAAGATATGATATTATTTATGCATTCTGAAGGAAGATATTTTGTAAACCTGCTTAACAGTAACCTACTCGCCGTTCGACACTGAATCCAATTTAAAATAATTATGCTTAGTAGCAGCAAATTGAAATCGGTAGAAATGTGTTCTATTTCTTTGATTATATTAGATTGCTGTGCTTGAAAATTTTTTTCTTTTTTCTTTTCCATTACTGGCCACTTTCGACTGAATATACTTACCTTGAACAAAAATGGGTGATCTGACCATAGTCGTGCAATTTTCTGAATGTTGTGGTGGCTTTGATATGATGAGTGAATTTTTAGTAAACATTCAAAGGATGGTCTTTCTTGAATATTATTACATACCATTCATCGAAACGTTACCTTATTCTTCCCGACCGAAGCTGCGAAAGTGACGTGGTGGTCGGGCGTGACTATCGTGATGATCCAACCCAACTATATTGACTGGAACTTATGTTCCTGAAGGTTCTACCATGCCACGAAGGTCGACTGAAGAGCGATGAGACTAAAAGCAGCTACCCAACGTCTGAGGGCGGCGTTTCATAAAAAGACCGTGCGTGACCGGCCTCAAGCGATTGTCCCTTGAACTCGGCGGTCACGTTCCCAGGTCAGTAAGACCAACACTAATCTATCTTCGTTTTCAGGTCCCTCAAGAAACACGCTTCCACAGTGTGGGCAGACGGGAAGTGACGACCGCCCTCATACCCATGAAAGCACACGAGACCAAGTTGGTCAAAATCAAATCCTTCCTACACCCACACACACCTCTCTTCTCTCCACAACCAACTCTATTCACAGTCCCTTTTCTCACTGCACCGCTAATGCAGACAAAGCGAATTCACGAAACGTCATTCCTGGTCTCTTGAAACCCCGTTCTAAACTACATGTTGGAGCATTTAATGTACGGACATTGTGTCAAATAGGGCAACAGGCATCATTAGCTAGGACTTTAGAATCTCGCTCAATCGATGTATGCTGCGTCTCCCGAACGCGTATATAGGATCCGAATAGCATCATTTACTTGACCTCACCATGTCAAGCCACTCAATTTACCCTTCGTGTATCCGGTAGCCCTGATACTGCTTCCAGGGGTCTTGCTGGTGTAGGTATAGTATTGAGTCGTAGGGCAGAACAATCTCTCCTTGACTGGATCCCAGTAGATAGTCGCTTGTGCGCCATCCGACTAAACGGGACAGTAAGGATTCGAAAGGATAGGGACACTCGCCGTTGCCTCTTCGTCATATCAGCATACGCCCCCACTGACTGCAGTTCAGACGAGGTTAAAGATGAGTTTTACAGAAGGCTTTCGGACCTCCTCCAAAAGGCTAGGCGCTCTGATATAGTTATAATGGCTGGTGACTTTAATGCTCAAGTAGGTGGACTAAGTGAAAATGAAAGACACCTTGGTGGATGTTATGGTGTCGCTGCTCAGAGAACAGACAATGGCGACCGTCTGTTGCAAGTATACTCTGATAACCACCTATTCCTAGCAAACACTAACTTTAGACATAAGGAAAAGCATCTCTTGACATGGCGACCCCCAAAGTCGTCACAACGCTGGACCCAACTAGATCACATCGCTATAATCCACTGGTGGAGAGGCTCTGTTGAAGACTGCCGCTCATTCTGGCGCACTCGTTTAGATTCAGATCATGCCTTAGTGCGAGCGCGCATCTGTTTGAGGCTTACTGGACGTAGGAAAGACAGCGGGCTGGTTTATCGACCTGGACGTGGTTGTATAGACCACGTCTTCACACTCAGACAGGTCCTGGAACATAGACACACATTTAGGCGTCCTACAATAGTTGTTTTCCTAGACCTTAAGGCGGCATTTGACTTAGTGGATCGTGAGGTTCTGTGGTAGTGTCTGCCATTTGAAGGTGTACCTAATAAGTACATTAACCTCATACAAGCTCTCTACTCAAACACCACTGGTCGAGTGAGAGCTTATGGCGAACTGTGACTGGAATTCTCTACTTCGAGTGGTGTCCGTCAGGGATGTCCACTTTCTCCATTCTTGTTTAATTTTGTCATAGACATGCTCCTAGAAATAACCTTATCTTCGTCTGAATTTTCAGGAGTAGACCTCCTACCAGGTAGCTCGCTTATTGACTTAGAATATGCTGATGACATAGTCCTACTTGGTGAAGACGCTGACAAAATGCAGTCTCCTGACTACCCTAAGCAACAATGCAAGCATGTTCGGAATGCGGTTTTTCCCCTCGAAATGCAAAATGTTGCTTCAAGATTGGGTTTCATCGGCACCTGAACTAGTGATAGGGAGTGAAGTAGTCGAAAGTGTAGACCGCTTCACTTATCTTGAGAGTCTCATCAGTGCTGATAGCCTGGTGACTGACGAAATCTCAGCGCGGATACAGAAAGCTCCATTGGCTTTTGCCAACCTGCGTCACTTATGGCTAACCACCGACTGCCTCGACGAGCTATGTTTTGTGGTGTAGGAGTAGGTTGGAAGACAGCTAGGGACGGCCAAACCAAAACATGGCAGAAATCCATGAAGTCACTGACTAGTGGACTGAATCATGTTGGTAGATGTAGACTACCTGGTTGGGGTCCGCGAGACAAAAGTCACCAATGGTTAGAGACCGTGAACGACATGGCTCAAAATCGTTTGCAATAGCGCAAGTGTATCCATTCTTTGAGCTCTCTCAAATCCTAATCTTCTGGATTCGTCAGCACCTCTACCTTTTTCTTTCTAACCTTATCCCACTTAATTATACTACTTGAATAATAGCTTCGAACCCTAGTCTTCTTCATTACCATTAATACCTCTACTATCTTTATCACTATGGGATTTGATTTGACATTTGCGTATCTGTGCTAATGTGGTATGGCAACACGAACTTATGTACATACATACGAAGTTCTACGTTGTAACTGACTGACTGACTGACTGACTGACTGCCTTATTCTTAAACACAAAAAGAAACTTGTTACCCTAAATGAGCTTCATAAAACCTGTACTATGGATGATTATGGTAATAAAACAATGCCAACAGTTATTTACCCTGTTATCCATTATACCTCTGAACTCCGCTAAGTTTTATAACTCCAACATGTACAAATTTCCCTTTGTATGAGAAGTAGTGTTTCATTGGACCTTCAACCAGCATGTTCAAGTTCCACTTTGCCTACTTCTGTTTCTGCACCTATGTAGTATCACCGACTTTCACGTAAAATATCGTTTAAAGTTGAGCATTCAAATCTGTACATGACGAGTCAGTCACCCCCTATTCATATCCTTCTTTGTAGAATGAGACGAAATAACAGTTACATAAAGCGAAATATAAGAGTTGGACAATATGATATCTGCCACACGTATTATGTCACGAAGAAGTTGTAAGAGTAGAAGGATAGACAATCCTTGACAATTTAATACATATGCCCAGTGGGTTACGTTGCAAAACATTTATAAGTATTATTACTATTAGGCAGATTATATTTATGAATGATAAAATGAAAGTCCTAACAACACTCACTTCGTTACTGTACACAACAGTACATTCTGGTAATGTTTCACCTGAATCCATTGAACACATTGCACCAATTACACAACCATGAGTTATTTTAACATTTGATCCAATATGACATTTCGCTTCAAAAACATTATTATCACCAATTTCTAAGGCATAACAATGTGCTCCTACCTTAATGAAAAAACGAATAAGATAGTCATTAGTAAATTGAATGATAAGTCAGTCAGTCAGATGCAACGTAGAACTTTGTACATAAGTACATCAGTTCATGTTGCCATACCACATCAGCAGAGAGATATAATTGTCAATTCAAATCCAATAGTAGAAGAGATAGTAAGGGAATTAGAAGTAATCGGAGAGGTTAGGATTAGAAGATAATATTCAAGAAGTATGATTCAATGAGATAAGTTTAGAGAGTCGAAACTAGAGGTGTTGAAGAATCCAGAAGATTAGGATTTGAGAGAACACAAAGAGTAAATGCACCGGCGCCATTGCGAACGATTTTGAGCCATGTCATTCAAGGTCTCTAACCATCGATTATTATCATCTCACGGACCCCAACCAGGTAGTCGACAACTACCGACATGGCTCAGTCCACTAGTCAATGACTTCATGGATTTCTGCCATGTTTTGGTCTGGCCGCCCCTAGCTTTCTTCCAACCTACTCCTACACTACAAAACAAGGCTCGACGAGGCAGTCGGTGGTTCGGCATACGCAAGATATGTCCCAACCACCTCAACTGATGAAGTTTCACCACTTCATCGATTGCTCTCCAATCCTTACCTAGTACTCGTTTCCTAACGACAGAGTTGCTCACTCGGTTGTCCCACGGTATACGAGCAATGCTTCGAAGACACCTATGATCGAAAACCAGTAACCTACGAATATCTTCTACTCTCATTGGCCATGTTTCACAGCCATATAGGAGAACGGAGCGAACTGCTGCACAGTACACTCGTCCTTTAATTAGAGAACGGATATCACGCCTACGCCATAAGTGACGCAGGTTGGCAAAAGCCAATCGAGCCTTCTGTATCCGCGCTGAGATTTCGTCAGTCACCAGGCTATCAGCACTGATGAGACTCTCAAGATAAGTGAAGCGGTCTACACGTTCGACTACTTCACTCCCTATCACTAGTTCAGGTGCCGATGAAACCCAATCTTGAAGCAACATTTTGCATTTCGAGGGGAAAAACCGCATTCCGAACATGCTTGCATTGTTGCTTAGGGTGGTTAGAAGACTCTGCACTTTGTCAGCGTCTTCACCAAGTAGGACTATGTCATCAGCATATTCTAAGTCAATAAGCGAGCTACCTGGTAGAAGGTCTACTCCTGAAGGTTCAGACGAAGATATTGTTATATTTAGCAGCATGTCTATGACAAAATTAAACAAGAATGGAGAAAGTGGACATCCCAGACGGACACCACTCGAAGTAGAGAATTCCAGTCACAGTTCGCCATAAGCTCTCACTCGACCAGTGGTGTTTGAGTAGAGAGCTTGTATGAGGTTAATGTACTTCTTTGGTAGACCTTTCAATGACAGACACTGCCACAGAACCTCACGATCCACTAAGTCAAATGCCGCCTTAAGGTCCAGGAAAACAACTATTGTAGGACGCCTAAATGTGTGTCTATGTTCCAGGACCTGTCTGAGTGTGAAGACGTGGTCTATACAACCACGTCCAGGTCGAAAACCAGACTGGTTTTCTCGAGTTCGCTCTTCACGAGCTTTCGTTAAGCGTCGAAGTATTACTGAGACCAATATTTTAGATACTATATTAGTTAGACTTATTCCTCTGTGATTGTCACAAGTAGACTTCTGTCCTTTCTTATAGATTGGGACAATCAAGGATTGAGACCAGTCGGATGGGATCACGTCCAGTTCCCAGATTCTACCTAAGATCTCAGTCAGCCTAGTTGATAAAACTGGACCACCAATCCTTAAATATCTCAGGGGTCAGTCTATCAGGACCTGCAGATCGACCTCGCTTCAGATTTCCTAACGCTTTTTCAACTTCATTAAGACTAGGAGGACTTACGTCGATCTGCCATTCAGGATGACTGGAGATCGTGGGTAACTGAAGAGTGGCTCGAGGCCAGTTGAACTGATCCCTAAAGTGTTCTGCCCATCGATCCAGTCTCCTGGATTGAGAATGGATAATAAGACCATCCTTTTCCGAGATAGTCTCACTTACACTATGATTCCTAATACCAGTTTCCTTGATAAGTCGGAAAAGTTGTCTACTGCTGCCTATCGCCGCTGCCTTTTCCATCGCTTTTGCTTTCGCCACCCACCACTGTTCGCGATCGTTACGTAGGCTTTTTATAAGTCTGCGCCTAAGTTGACTTCGTTCTTCATCATGTTTAGAGCCAGGTGGGATGAGTTTTCGGGCATCCATCAGATCGGTGGATGCTACTGAGATCCACGATTTCATTCTAGCCTTATGGTCAACCTTACTAGCAGATAAGTATTGTAAATCAAGAACCAATTCTACTCTAACTGGTTGAGCATTTCAAATGAACTTGTAGGTGGAAAGTCAGTGAGCCAGATGCACATAAATTTGGTACGTACGTACGTACATCAGTTCAGGTTGCCATTTCAATATTAACACAAAGAAACAACTGTCAGTTCAAATACCGTAGTAGTAGAGGTTGCAGCAATATTAGTGGTAATGAACAAGCTTAGAAATAAAAGAAATGATTCGAGAAGTGCAAACCAGTCAAACGAATTTAAAAAGGGAGAAAACGTCATAAGGAATAGAAAAGATTAGTATTTGAGAGAGGACATAAAGTGGATGCACCTGCGCCAATGCAAACGATTTTGAGCCATGTAACTTAAAGTCTCTAACCACCGGTAACGGTTATCATGCGGAATCTAGCCAAATAGTTTGTACCTACTAACATGGCTCAGTCAAACTCTCAGTGAATTCATGGATTGGTGCCATGTTTTGTTTTGGCCGCCTCTAAACCGTTAGTGGAGAAATACTAATATACATAGAAAGATACAAACAAACTCGTAATAAAACAACGATAACATGCGAAAATCAATAAGACATTGATTTAACTAACTTCGAACACATTGTAATCACCAATTTTCATTGTGGAACCAGGAATTTTGTTCACGATTTCCACCTGTTCTTCAATTAAATTAAATGATCCAATATATATTGGACCAGCCTCAGCGATTATACGAGCTTTTGGATGAATAATGGTGTTTGCACCGATAACTATCTCACCAGATAGTTCACACTCGGAACAGACAACAGCTCCAGGTGTTATACGTACTTGACTACGAAAAGATGTGAAACCTGAAGCTAGTTTCATTATACTATATAAAACAAGACAAAAGACAATCATATTAGGAATCGATAATTTACAAAACCAATCAGGAAAAGTTCGAAACAATTAATTCTTCACAGATTTAAGGATTTTTAACAGTATCTACGAAGAAACTAAAAATGACCAATTCAGGGTAAAATTAATGTAGAAGTGATTTTATTTAATGTAATTAATGTATAAGCTATTGTATTTAACATAGTACGTTATGATATTAAAAGATGTTATAACAGCCAAAAGATTTGTTGCAAAAACACTAAAATGATCTAGTCCGAAAGATGAGAGATCTTGTAACTGAGATGAATAAACAATTGAAGATTAGACAACATGTTACAGACCTAGAACTTTTTCTACAACTTTTATTTGAACAAGTAGTAAAGCATAAACAATGGTTTATGTCATTTGATCAAAGACCCTACTGAGTATCCCAAATTGAATAATTTAGATAAATTTTGAATACAAATGAAGAACATGATTTAAGTATTTCAGCAAAAAAACGGTAGTTGGCTTACAATTTTATGCAATTAAAACCGAAAACTTGAAGAAGAAAGTATAAAGTCTCACATTTACACATAAATCAAGAACTGACAAAAGTATATTTTATAATTGGTTCGATTAAACCTAAGCTTGGTTTCGATCAATTCCTGACCCGAATAACACCTGCATATCGATAAGATTTCTCGGTTTATTCACCACTGATCTCATTCACGTCAATTTTGTAGATTCACAACCTAACTAACTGATTTACTACTCAAATGTTGACAAAATTTCTCTTTACGTATATTCTTCCTTCTCTTTACGTAACAGTATATGTGGTAAATTGATCAATCAGGAGTATTGTTAAGAAGGGATAGGTTACTCGGATATTCAATATCACTACACAATAGAACTCAAATAACCGAAAAATATTAGATAATCGATGGGTGTGCAGATATCTTTATACAACAATAAATAACTTGACGTACTTTGTTGACTTGATGATACAAAGATTTCAACAGTAATAAAGTTACTCATGCAAGTAATTACTTTAAATTTAATTATCGGGTCAGTTTTTGAAATATCATCTTTGTATCCGATTAAAATTTATGATCAATAGTTTAACAGATTAATTAAAAAAAAAACTAATCACAATAGTCAGTCAATGGGTAATAAAAAAAATGATCATTTGGAATATTGTATGCATTATTGTATTGATAAATTTGATAACATGTACAATTTAGTTAACAATCTGTGTATCAAGTGTAGAATCCATAAATCATCAATAGAAAATCTAAAATCTTTAATGAATTCATTTGTTAAGAAAAATAAATGTAAGTTAATTAGGGCAGTGAAGTATAAAGCGCAAATGCATTTTAAATACAGAAAAATATAAATATGAATGAAGATAATAAACATGAGAGGAATTTTATCACGAGAACAGAAAATCTTGAAATACTTTTTAAGGATAATGATTTGGCGTGAAAACAAGAAATTTGAAACTCTAAGTTATAAAATAAACGAAAAAAAAGTTGTAAAGATTTATTCAGTATAAATGCAATTTTACATACTTATTTCCAAAAGTTTAAAACAGAATTAAAAGCACAGTTATCTCGTAACAAATAAAAACGAATAATAAAAAGTTGTATATTTTGTAAAATGTGTTTTCGAGGCTATAACACTATCAGTTGAACATCTACCGTGAAATTATTGATCATCCAATCACAGTTCATATTCCTGAAAAAGCTGATAGAAGTTAAAATAAGCACAGTAAAAATATTTTAAAAAGTAACTTTCATGATATGATATGATTGAAAATAATGAGGTGTAAATCGTGTAGTAATCAATTCTAACTTAATTTGTCATTGAATGAATGAAATGTTACCTATACAACGTGAAGAATAATTTATATAGGCCTAATTTAAATTATACGATAAATGATGTCTACCTGACTTTAAGTAAACTTAACTACAAATTCAAGGGTTCAAACATTGATGCCTATATGAAAGTTTCGATAGTTGAACAGTATACGAATACTCACCAAATAAAATTGAAACGATGACCTAATCCAATTTAATAACAAAGTATAGTTATAGTATATTCGACTATTTAATGCATATTTTCTCAGTTAATAATTTTACTCAGTTGTTGGAACCGCAATAGATCCAATAGTTGAAAATTGGGTAATTTTACAGTAGAAAATACAGATGACAAGAAATGAGTTGCAAAAATGTTAGTAATGTTAAGCAATAATAACTAACGCATATTACCTATGACTATACCGTCTACCTTGACGTAAATGTTAACTGGAGTGGGTTGAAAGAAAGCTAGAGGCATCTAAATCAAAACATGAGATCAATCGGCAAAAGTTGGCAAGTAGAGAGCATCTAGTTAGCAATGGTGTAGGTACACTCATTTTTTGTTCTCAATTCATCAATGAGTTTAAAATTACCTCATACCTTCAATTCTGTGAATTATTTCTTTATGTCTGTGCATCACTGATGCCGATACGACTGCTACTCCTACTACATCGATGTTTATCTTGATGATTTAATATCACTATGTTGAAACAGGGTGGAAAGTTGGGTTGATGTCATACATGCAAAGTTTTATAATGCTTTTGATTCACTGACTGAACTTTAGTTACTGACCTAAAAAATGCATGCTCGTCCTATCTAACTGCTTGCAAATACCTTACGATGTACTTGAACTTCTGCCAACAATTTATTGTGAGTTACTTCGTGTGTGAGTAGCCCCAAAAAACAACTTAAAAGTTTTGATAAACAAAGATTTAAAATCTTGAAGATTGTTCGCTTCATTTCATAAGAATACTTTTATTATGACTAGCTACGGAAATGAGTTGGGCTTTGCAAAACATAATATTTCTTTATTTAAGTGATATTGAACAAATATCCTCTGCTGAATGAGCATTTCGAACGGTGCGTGACCGGCCTCAAGCAGTTGTCCCTTGGACTCTGCGGTCAGGCACCCAGGTCTCCAAGACCAACAATAATCTATCTTCCTTTACAGGTCCCTCAAGAAACAACCTACCACGGTGTGGGTAAACGGGAAGTGATAACCGCCTCATACCCATGAAAGCACACGAGACCAAATTGGCCGAAATCAAATCCTTTCTACACATCCTAATAACTCACTTATCTCTACGACTAACTCTTCTCACATTCCTTTATCTCCCCGCACCTCTGCTGCAAATGATTCGAGTCCTCAAACGTTATTCCTGGTCTCTTGAAGCCCCGTAACATCCGCCCTCATACCCATGAAAGCACACAAGACCAAATTGGCCACAATCGAATCCTCTCTACACTTCCTAATAACTCTCTTATCTCCTCGACCCACTCTTCCTTCGATCTGTTATCACCTCACACCACTGAAGCAAACGGTACGAGCTTACGAAACCTTACTCCTGGTCTCTGGAAACCCCGTTCTAAACTACATATTGTAGCGTTTAATGTTCGGACCCTATGACAAATAGGGCGACAGGCTTCATTAGCTAGAACTCTGGAATCCCGGGCGATCGATGTATGTTGCGTATCCGAAACGCGCACACAAGACCAGAGTAAAATCACCAACTTGATCTCGCCCAATGCAGATAGGGACACCACAAGATTTACGATTCGTGTTTCTGGAAGTCCTGATGCCGCTTCTCGTGGCCTCACCGGCGTAGGTAGAGTATTAGGTCGTAGGGCAGAACAATCTCTCCTTGACTGGATCCCAGTCAAGCTTGTTCATTACCACTAATATTGCTGCAACCTCTACTACTACGGTATTTGAACTGACAGTTGTTTCTTTGTGTTAATATTGAAATGGCAACCTGAACTGATGTACGTACGTACGTACCAAATTTATGTGCATCTGGCTCACTGACTTTCCACCTACAAGTTCATTTGAAATGCTCAACCAGTTAGAGTAGAATTGGTTCTTGATTTACAATACTTATCTGCTAGTAAGGTTGACCATAAGGCTAGAATGAAATCGTGGATCTCAGTAGCATTCACCGATCTGATGGATGCCCGAAAACTCATCCCACCTGGCTCTGAACATGATGAAGAACGAAGTCAACTTAGGCGCAGACTTATAAAAAGCCTACGTAACGATCGCGAACAGTGGTGGGTGGCGAAAGCAAAAGCGATGGAAAAGGCAGCGGCGATAGGCAACACTAGACAACTTTTCCGACTTATCAAGGAAACTGGTATTAGGAATCATAGTGTAAGTGACACTATCTCGCAAAAGGATGGTCTTATTATCCATTCTCAATCCAGGAGACTGGATCGATGGGCAGAACACTTTAGGGATCAGTTCAACTGGCCTCGAGCCACTCTTCAGTTACCCACGATCTCCAGTCATCCTGAATGGCAGATCGACGTAAGTCCTCCTAGTCTTAATGAAGTTGAAAAAGCGTTAGGAAATCTGAAGCGAGGTCGATCTGCAGGTCCTGATAGACTGACCCCTGAGATATTTAAGGATGGTGGTCCAGTTTTATCAACTAGGCTGACTGAGATCTTAGGTAGAATCTGGGAACTGGACGTGATCCCATCCGACTGGTCTCAATCCTTGATTGTCCCAATCTATAAGAAAGGACAGAAGTCTACTTGTGACAATCACAGAGGAATAAGTCTAACTAATATAGTATCTAAAATATTGGTCTCAGTAATACTTCGACGCTTAACGAAAGCTCGTGAAGAGCGAACTCGAGAAAACCAGTCTGGTTTTCGACCTGGACGTGGTTGTATAGACCACGTCTTCACACTCAGACAGGTCCTGGAACATAGACACACATTTAGGCGTCCTACAATAGTTGTTTTCCTGGACCTTAAGGCGGCATTTGACTCAGTGGATCGTGAGGTTCTGTGGCAGTGTCTGTCATTGAAAGGTCTACCAAAGAAGTACATTAACCTCATACAAGCTCTCTACTCAAACACCACTGGTCGAGTGAGAGCTTATGGCGAACTGTGACTGGAATTCTCTACTTCGAGTGGTGTCCGTCAGGGATGTCCACTTTCTCCATTCTTGTTTAATTTTGTCATAGACATGCTCCTAGATATAACCTTATCTTCGTCTGAATTTTCAGGAGTAGACCTCCTACCAGGTAGCTCGCTTATTGACTTAGAATATGCTGATGACATAGTCCTACTTGGTGAAGACGCTGACAAAGTGCAGAGTCTTCTAACCACCCTAAGCAACAATGCAAGCATGTTCGGAATGCGGTTTTTCCCCTCGAAATGCAAAATGTTGCTTCAAGATTGGGTTTCATCGGCACCTGAACTAGTGATAGGGAGTGAAGTAGTCGAAAGTGTAGACCGCTTCACTTATCTTGAGAGTCTCATCAGTGCTGATGGCCTGGTGACTGACGAAATCTCGGCACGGATGCAGAAGGCTCCATTGGCTTTTGCCAACCTGCGTCACTTATGGCGTAGGCGTGATATCCGTTCTCTAATTAAAGGACGAGTGTACTGTGCAGCAGTTCGCTCCGTTCTCCTATATGGCTGTGAAACATGGCCAATGAGAGTAGAAGATATTCGTAGGTTACTGGTTTTCGATCATAGGTGTCTTCGAAGCATTGCTCGTATACCGTGGGACAACCGAGTGAGCAATGCTGTCGTTAGGAAACGAGTACTAGGTAAGGATTGGAGAGCAATCGATGAAGTGGTGAAACTTCATCAGTTGAGGTGGTTGGGACATATCTTGCGTATGCCGAACCACCGACTGCCTCGTCGAGCCTTGTTTTGTAGTGTAGGAGTAGGTTGGAAGAAAGCTAGGGGCGGCCAGACCAAAACATGGCAGAAATCCATGAAGTCATTGACTAGTGGACTGAGCCATGTCGGTAGTTGTCGACTACCTGGTTGGGGTCCGTGAGATGATAATAATCGATGGTTAGAGACCTTGAATGACATGGCTCAAAATCGTTCGCAATGGCGCCAGTGCATTTACTCTTTGTGTTCTCTCAAATCCTAATCTTCTGGATTCTTCAACACCTCTAGTTTCGACTCTCTAAACTTATCTCATTGAATCATACTTCTTGAATATTATCTTCTAATCCTAACCTCTCCGATTACTTCTAATTCCCTTACTATCTCTTCTACTATTGGATTTGAATTGACAATTATATCTCTCTGCTGATGTGGTATGGCAACATGAACTGATGTACTTATGTACAAAGTTCTACGTTGCATCTGACTGACTGACTTATCATTCAATTTACTAATGACTATCTTATTCGTTTTTTCATTAAGGTAGGAGCACATTGTTATGCCTTAGAAATTGGTGATAATAATGTTTTTGAAGCGAAATGTCATATTGGATCAAATGTTAAAATAACTCATGGTTGTGTAATTGGTGCAATGTGTTCAATGGATTCAGGTGAAACATTACCAGAATGTACTGTTGTGTACAGTAACGAAGTGAGTGTTGTTAGGACTTTCATTTTATCATTCATAAATATAATCTGCTTAATAGTAATAATACTTATAAATGTTTTGCAACGTAACCCACTGGGCATATGTATTAAATTGTCAAGGATTGTCTATCCTTCTACTCTTACAACTTCTTCGTGACATAATACGTGTGGCAGATATCATATTGTCCAACTCTTATATTTCGCTTTATGTAACTGTTATTTCGTCTCATTCTACAAAGAAGGATATGAATAGGGGGTGACTGACTCGTCATGTACAGATTTGAATGCTCAACTTTAAACGATATTTTACGTGAAAGTCGGTGATACTACA